GGGGCAGGGACGGGGCATCCCTCCGGGTTCCTCACACGCCCGAGGCCGTCAGGCTGGGGAAGGGGCAGGGGGTCGGGATCGCCCCTGGGATCACCAGGCTGGGGAAGGGGCAGGGGGTCGGGATCGCCCCTGGGATCACCAGGCTGGGGAAGGTTCTGGATCGCCAACAAGATCCCGCTGAGCACACGGGACTGGGGAAGGGAGCGCGGGGTCAGGATCCCCCTGGGATCCCGCACCAGGATCCCCTCGGAGCCGGTCAGACTGGGTTCCCCAGGATATTCTGCAGCATGATGGGGAAGGGGTCCCCGGTCTGAGCCACCCCTGGATCCCACCGGGCTGGAGCCGGGGGGGCTGGCAGGACCCCTTGCTCCGAGCTGATCCCTCAGCCAGCTCCCTGAGCACGGAGCTGCGGATCCCGGGACCAACCCGACCCTGCATCCCCACAGCTGGACTGGCGGCAGGTGCTGGTGCTGGGGCTGGATGGAGCGGGGAAGAGCAGCGTCCTGCACTACATCTGCAGCCAGACAGCCAGGGAGCGCATTGCACCCACCCGCGGCTTCAACTCTGCCCAGCTCTTTGTTGAAGGGCTGGAGATGGACCTGCTGGAGGGTAAGGCTGGCCTGGCCCCACCGTGTCGCCCGGCGCTGAGCCAGGAGGGTCCCCCCGCCTGCCGGCACCGGGCTGGGGGTGCAGAGCATCCCCGGGCGGCGGGAGCATCCCGGGCGGCGGGAGGTCTGGTTCCCCGGGGTGCTACAGGGAGGTGGAAGCCCCACTCGCCTCCACGCAGGGGCCTGATCCTGCCCGTCTCCCGCAGTGGGGGGCAGCCAGAACCTGCGAGCGTACTGGCCCCACTACCTGAGCCAGGCCGACGTGCTGGTGTTCGTGGTGGATTCGGTGGACAGGTCGCGGCTGCTGACGGCGCGCCAGGAACTGCACGCGCTGCTGGCCGCAGAGCCCCGGCTGCCCCTGGTCGTGCTGGCCAACAAGCAGGTGGGTGTCCATCTGTCTGTCCCTGCAGCTGCCTCCGGGACTGTTTGCAGCGAAACTGTCCCTCCCCAGAGCCCCGAGGGAAAATCCTGATACCCCAAATCCACTGGCTCTTGCAAAATCTGATTTCTCGGAGCCTGTCTCCTCCAGTCTTCATCAGGAGGCGCAGCTGCCATTACCAGTGCCCTGGCTAACGAATTTTAGGAAAGCACCCAGGCAGCAGCCTGCAAAATCCCTCAGGGGAAATACATTCCCCCGGCAGGCGGCCAAGCACATGCCTGGTGCTGCTTCCCGTTAGCTTTTGCCAAAGCGACTCCAAAGCAAGAGCGAGGCAGCCCTGCCAGGACAGGGCTCCTGCCAGCCGGCAGCGTGGCTCCCGGCGCTTCTCCCCTCCTGAGCGGCCACCTCTCTCCCTCGCAGGATAAGAGCGATGCCCTGAGCGCGGCAGAGCTGCGAGAGGAGCTGGACCTGCACACGCTCAGCGGGCAGCGGGAGCTTTTCCTCCTGCCCACCAGCGCGACCTGGGCCAGCCTGAGTACTGCCACCAGCGTCCTCCGCGTGAAGAGCCTGCTGGTCACCCTGCTCTCCCAGCCCTGAGCCCGCACCGGGGACAGACAGGCTCCCATCCCCAGCACCGCTCT